TTTCTCCATCATGTTAGGATTAGTAGTCAGAGTCTAGTAGGGTAAGGGTAAGTGTCAGGGATTCAGTATTTCAAATGGAAAATAGAAAAATGAATCCAATGTGTATGAAAACATGTGCTACACATAAATCTTCCCACTCTCATTCAGAACAATGCCTTGACCTTACCGTCACCCCAAGTAAGACACAATTAGGTAAGAAGAGGTAGAAAACCTGTGAAGACATATCTGGAATGGAAAATGCTCAGGAGTGAACCTTGGAGGTGGTAGAGGAGATTCCCAAAGTAAGGGACAGGGTAAACACTCCACAAACATGGAGCTCTACTGGCCTAATGACTTCATGTGAAACTGCCTCTAAGGGTGGGAACTTCAAATATATGTTGTTGTCAGGAGCTTTAGCTTCATTTGTAGTGAGACCATCAAAGCTGGGTCTGCATCTATGTGACTTGGAGGACATGGTATCTTATTTTCCAATGAACATGAGGCAGCAGTGAATCCTCTCTTTGTAGGTAAACTGTGGCCACTTGGGGCTTAGTGTCTCCCCGTGTGGACTGTGAAGCAAATTGGTCATCCTCCACTTTTGATGGTGTTTCTTCAGCTGCAATGGAAGTTTGGTATTTATTTCACAAAATACAAGGAGATAAAGTGGGACACAGTGCTGGAGGGAGTTCTGTCACATATGGTGAGTCAGGAAAACACCAATCAGGCTGCTATTTCATACAGCTTGCCCCCTTGATTGTATCAACCTGATTCTGAACATTGCCCTGAAAACTCTCCACATAAGAAGATGCCTTTACATATAAGGGTCTGCTCACTGCACCATGTCAGTCACAAGTCATTTGGAAGCCAATGGAAGATCCACATGGCCCCACCACAGATGTTTTATCACACACCTGCACTCCACTGCTCCAGGCCCACTTATCAGCAGGCTCAATCAAACTGGCATCTCTGTTCTACACCATTTTCAGGAAATCCAGTCAATCAAGGCACTGTCTGATAAAGTCATGATCAGCAACAGGACATCAAAATGTTCTCCAGTGCCACCTGGTCATGGGAATTTCAAAAATTTCATGGTATTTATCTAGCCATATTTTAAGGATTAAGTAGGAGATACTGTGTGTTTTAATTCATTCAGGAACCATAAAATGGTGAGCAATCTCCTTTCAATGAAAGACCTGGAGAACTCTTGAAGGCAAGGCTTCCCAAAGAGTGGCCAAAAAATCACAAGAAGCCAGGAACATTGAGGTCTACCATGTGAGGTCCATGAGTGTCTTGACTCTCAACTATGGCTGCCAAGTCTTTAAGAATAAAATCATGGGATATCGTGGCTGAGATTCCCAGTGCTGTGAGAAAAGCCAACCTGGACCTAGATCTCAG